CCCCCATCTCCTGAGCGGGCTCTTAGAACAGCACTGCAAAGGGGTGGCCCTGTGGATGTGTGTCTGGGCTGTGAGCCAGCCCCGGTACAGCTAGGTGACCTTGGCCTGACAATTCCTCAGACCGGGGGAAGGAGACAGGCAACTCGGACATGGCAGAAAGCAGAAGCGAGGATGAAGTGACAGAAACGTGGCCAACAGATTAGAGCATGAATGCAAAGATGAGATCAGGGAACGCAGACCTGTTGGGGACAGAGCCCTCTGTCAGTCCTGTCACCAGGAAGGCCAACACCTCCCAGGAGAAAGACAGGCTGACAGGAGCTGTGACAGGTGGCAGGAACTCACGGCCCTGTCAGGGCAGTGGGGCTCTGACGTCCCAGCACAGACCTCCTTCCCCTGATGCCACCCCCCCAGCCTCCCCCTCTCCCCCTGCCCTACTTCTAAGGCTCCCACATGCCCCTCCCCCATGGCGTCAGAGCAGGACCCCTCAGTCTGCAGCATCTGCCCCGTTCTTCCCTTCAGATGGGAGGTGCTGCTGTCTAGAAAACCTCTTCATGCTTCCTGAAGGTCAGGGGCAGAGGCCAGCCAGGCCCAGACCTCACCGCCGGGTGGGCAGTGCGGGCTGGATGGGGAGAGATGCATGCGTGGGGGGTGAGGGGGGCTTTGGAAGATGAATGGCTTCGAGACAGTCGGGAGCAGCTGCCTGCAGGGTCTGCGCCCGGATCTCAGGGAGCAGATGCGGAAATCTTTTCCCTCTGCTCGGGATTGGGCAGGATCGTAAAAACAGAGACATGGCAGAGCAGCTGGGGGCAAAGGAGGCCTCCGTTCCTGAGCAGTCAGCAGACTGACAAAAACAAGTGTCACGCTTTTCCCCTACTCACATGCTGCTGCCCATTCGGAACACACACACGCATGCACACACGCACTCAGCAAACATGCAGGGGACAAGCTGCGGGTCGCTTCCATCCAGCTGCAGGCAGACATGTCACAGAGCCAACTGGCATGTCTTATCGATAATCTCAGCAGAGCAGCCAGTGACAGAGTGAGCTCTGGGGACCAGGGAGAGGCAAGCGCCCTGGGGAGTGAGCGCCACCATGGCAAACGGACACCACACAGCCTTGGAGCGGAGCTGAGGTTTAACAGTGTTGCCTCGAGCTGCCAGGGGCAGCTGCAAACTCCCAGGTGCTTTCGGGGAGGCTGGTCCGGCCTCGGCATGAGCCTGGGGGTCCCCCAATTGCTATCCAGACGACACTGCGCAAATTAGCCTTTCTCTGTGTTTTCCTCATTTCTGAAATGTGGATAATAATATGACAGTGGGTCATTGTGAGGACTGACTTAGCAATCGGGAAGCCCTTCCTTAGCAAACGTGAGCTGTCAGCTGCCCCGCGCTTCTGGGCTCTCCTACCCCCTACTTGTCCTGCCCCTGGCCGGGCCTGCTGGGGCTGCAGTTAGCCAAGTGGACCCCACGGAGCCCCTCTCTCTGGGCCTGCCTCAGAGGTGCCGCCCCAGAGCACTGAGCATCTGGGCGCCCCCTGCCTGCCCCAGCCAGGCCTGGCCCCAGGAGCCCCACAGCGGGGGCCTGGGGAGAAATGAAGCCTGCTGGGCCCCGGAGTCTACCTCGTCATGGCCGCTTTTTCTCATTCTCCCTCCTGCTGCTGCTGCCGCCACCACAGCATCCTCCTGGGGAAGGGGGCGAACTGGGACTTGAGCTGAAACAGAAAACCAGATCAGAACAGCACTTTCTCCAGTCACTTTCTCCCGGGCCAAGGTGGGGCCTCGCGTTGCAGAGTGGGTGTCCCAGAGCACCGCCTCTCCCCGCATGACCACCAAATCTTCCCCAAACCTTGAAAATGCTGCCAGGACCAACCCTTTGCCCCGGGCACGAACCTGGCAGGTTCAAGGTAGGTGCCGATGGAAGGAGTGCACCCTCCGACTCAGCCTCCACGGATGACCACGGAGCTGAAGACGGCCCACTCTGCTCCCGTGTGGCCAGGCCTCACATGCTGTGCCCTCCCTGTCCCCAGCCCTGCCCTCTGCCCTCCAGGGCGGTGGCCCTGGCTTACCTCCCTCGTTCCTGGGGCTGAGCTCCACCTGGATTGCTGAGGGCTTACTTCAGAGGCTCCTTCTCCCTAGACAGAGGAAAGCTCGGGAGTCAGGATTGGAGGGGGTGAGCTTCCCACGTTTCTAGCCTTTTCCTGCCCACACTCCATGCCCAGCGATTCACCCCACTTTTTTTTTCACCCTACTTTTGAAGGGCAGGAGCACCCAAGAAACCAGTTGGAATTTACGACTGGAATTGGAGAGCAGAAATTCCGCCCTTTCCGCTACGCTGGGCCGGCCCTCCATGGCAGCCACCATGGCAGCCGCCATCAGCAGGAGGCATTAGGCCAATTTTTCCACATAGCTGGATCCCAAGAAGTGAACAGGCAACCGCTTTCTTCTAGCTGGGCCACATCAGGCCACGCCTAGCCAGATGGTCTCAGATTTGGCCTTTTCTCTCCTGACGGGAGGTTCAGGCCCATTGCAGGTAGAGACAAACCACCTAAAGTCAGGGACCTGTCTGTTCTCACATCGACCACAAATTGGATGGATGACCTTGAAGTAATTGAGGTCTCCCGGTCCCTCAGTTTCCTCTACTACTAACGAGGTGGAGGCACTTGTCCCGCCAACCCTCTGGGAATACTGAGACTTCGGAGTGAGCTAACGTATGAGAAACCCCTGGGGAGCACAAAACACTGATCAAGTGTGGGACAATGACAGACGAGCGAGCATTAACTGAGCAGGTATGCTGTGCCAAGTGCTTTACAACAGTTATGCCATTTAAACCTCACAACCACCCCGTTACCGATCCGAGTTGATATGAAAATAAAAAGATGACATAATTTGCCCAGAGTCAGTTGGTAAGAGAGGCGACCGACTCCAGACCCAAAGTCAACAGTGAGGCCCAGCCAGCCTTTGGGGCCTCCCGTGTGTGAGGCCCAGCGATGGTCATTTTGTATACATCGGCCCATGTCATCACTAGTAGCAATCGGGCACTACTGTGGCCATCTCAGCTAGCCGAGATGTCGAGAGAGGGTATCACAGAAGTGCCTGTTTCCCACACGTGCCTAGGGACTCCCAGTGGGCCTTCTGACACTTGGCACCTGGAAGAATCGGGCTGAGATGTAGAGAAAGCCTCAAGTTTTCTCACCTGGCCGGTCTCCACATACCTAAGGGGCCCTCTGCAGGCAGGTCCCACAGCCTGAGAGAGACGTGGGGGCGCATAGACATGTATGCCTGCCGACTCTCAGCCACCCCAGTCCTGTGGGGAGACACCCTCCTCCCAGGAGCCCTGGAACGCAAGGGCATCGTGCTTTTGTTTCATTAGGAGGGAGAGAAGCAGTGCCAGGGGCTAGTAGACGCTTCTGCAGGACAGAATGTCAGCCATACAAGGTGGGGCCATCGGCACCAAAGGACACTCCAAACAGTACGTTCTTAAAAAACCTTTGTTAATTTTCAGCCTTTTGTAGGGCATAGGAGTCCCCATCGTTAAAGGACACTGGTCGCCCAGGGAAGGAAAAGCTCAGAAGTCCCCAAACTTCACCCGTCGTAGAAGCCACGAGACAGCCTAGGGAAGAGTTAACTCTCTGGCCGCTGGAGACAGTGTCCTGCCCGCGGGGGCTGCCCAGCCAATGACACTCGGTTATGATGATGTCATGTTCCTCCTGCGCCTTCTATTGGGGACTGGACAGCGAATCGTGCTGGAGGTTCAGGCAGTGGGGCCGCTGAGGCTGGCGGGGGCAGCGGGAGACGGAGGGGGAGGGGAAGGCAAGCCAAGCCGCGCAGAGCTGCTGCCGCCTCAGCCCTCTCTCACACCCCCAGAGCCTTCTACAGAAGGGACCCTGGGGACCGCCCTGCACCCTCGGACCTGCAAGGCACAGCAGCTTTGGTCCAGGGAAGAGGCCGGGAGCCTCCCTTCCCAACTGGAGAAAACACTGAGCCTGCCGCCAGGCAGACAGGGAGCGGGGGCGAGGGGTCGGCGTTCAGTGCAGGCGGGCGCACACCCCACGTACACCCCCAGGCGTGGACGGGCGCGACAGCGGCGGCCTCCTCGGCAGCCCCCTCCCTCCTCCACCGCAGACTCTTCTGCCTTACCTGCCTGCGGGCGGGGGGTCTGCTTCCAAGCTGCTGCCCATAACTGCCCCATCTACTTCGCTGGGCTCTCTGTGAGGGGAGAACAGGAAGGAGGAGCTGTGGGCCAGACCCCCCATCCGCTGACCCGCTGTCCCTAGCCGCCTCTGGCTGTGGTGCCAGGGGTAAGCAGCCAGTGTCTTTCAAAGTCCCTTATTCTGAGGGGGAACCTTTTGGGGATTCCTTGCAAATCCCTTCAGCCTCCCTGGAGGTCCCAGAAGCCCCTGCCCACCTTCAGCCCGGCCCAACCCAGTGGCTTCTCCCCCCGCCAGCCCATGGCCCAGTCGTTGCTCACGGATGAACCCGGTTGCCAAATCGTCGGCGCCAGAGCATAGCCAGGGTGCTGAGCAGGAGGAGCGTGGTGCACATGGCTCGGCTGCCCCATCCCCTCCCAGACAGAGTCCGCAGAAGCAGGCCAGGGCGGCCCCTGCCAGCTCTCCCAAACTGCTGCTGTGTGTCCGGAGGCTCCTCCTAGTGATGGATTAGGAGGCTCAAGCTGATTAGAAGGGTCTGACCTTGTGAAGACCGATTAACCTGGCTGGGCCCAGGCTGTCCCCAGGCTGTCTCTCGCGGTGCAGGGTAAATCCACCTCAGTCTATTCTGGGTGTAGATATGGCTGAGACTTGGGCCTGGCCCTCACGGGGTGTATAGTCCAGACAGAAGCACGGGCGAGTTCGACAATGACCACAATCGAGTGGTTTAAGCCATTAAAGGCACCTGCAGGGAGGGCGCTGTGGGAGTCACAGTCATCAGGGGACGCTTCAAAGAGGAGCTGGGGGCATCTGAATTTGCAGGTGCTCAGGGAAGGGTGGGCCCTCAGAGGACTCTGCCAGGGCGTGCAAGGCATGTTCTAGCAACTGGAAGCTGAGCGGCAGCAGAGCGGTGATGTCCCAGGGACCGCGTCAGGGTGGGGGGACGCGGGGGGCGGTGAATAGTAGACAATGAAACCAGGAAGACAAGGGAGGCCAGGGAGCGAGGGGCTGGCCG